ATTTCATCTGAAGATTGCTTGAAAAATAACTTCTTATTTTTCATCGTTGATTACTTTAATACAAAGCATATCCCAGTCAAAAGAATAATGGGAAAACGGTCATTAAAATGCATTATTTTCCGTAGCTAGACCATTTTAACCATTAAAATGCACTTTTAAAGGTGAATAATACTAAAATGACCATTAAAATGCATATCGATTCATTATTAAATTATTTTGACCATTTTATGATCACAAAGTCTATTTTTTCGAAATTTTCAGCTAATAGAAATATGTTTATATTTTCTAAAAATTATATAATTTTTTGGACTTTTCTTATCAACCGTTTAAATTCTCCATAACATTCAAGAATATAGTTCGAAACTCACACTAAAAGTCAAGAGGAATTTCCGATCCTTATGAAGTCAAACAAAGAAGTAGTTAGAAATAGTTAGTTTTTTTCATGGTTTTTAATAATGAATTGAAAAGCGTCGAATTAGGAAGAATCGTACTCTTCATAATACCACTGAATTTAAAATTTTTTTGTTGGAGATCGAATGCTCGTAGTTAAAAATAGCATCCGCTTTTTCTAAAGACCAGGGATCTTATTTTTGTTCATCAAATGCACGGTACATCATAGGCAACTGGCCTAGCACTGTTTTTTCGGACTCGTAAAGAACGAAAACGCTTCTAAAGCATTGAGGTAAACGAATCCTAGTCGACTCTCCCCCATAGATCCCCCGGGAGTTCCCTAAAAAATGCGAAATCCCTGGTGAGTCCACAGGAAGTCACCAAGCTAATCCCAGGAAAGTCTCTAAAGTATAAAAACTCTCCAGGGACTCACTGGGGAGTCCCCAGGGAATCCCTAATTTTTAGGGAGTGGGGAGAAAATTAAAAACTCCCTATGGAATCCCCGTACAGGGACTCCCTGGTGAGTTTTCCTTTTTATGATTTGATTCTATAAAGTGCATAAATGTTTTAAATATATACTAAAATACATCTGTTTAGATATATCTATATAATTGGTTCTAGAAGTGTCCAGCTGATACAAAAAGAAAAGAGTCAAAGAAAAAGTACTAGACGTTTTTGTTTTATCTGAAAATCGTTAAATTTATTTCGCTAAGCCGTGTTGGCACTTTCTGGATAGATAGTAGTTAAAGAGTTAGACATATATATATATATTAGATAGTTAGATAGTAGATAGATAATGGAGAGCTAGGTGAATAGATGGATAGATAGATAGTTAGTTAGATAGATAGATAAGCAGATGAACATTACATCGATAGGTGGGTAAGTAGATATGTAGATAACTAGGTAGGCAGATAGGTAGGTAGGTAGATAATAAGTAGGTAGATAGTTCGTGGGTAGGGAGGTAGATAGCTAGGTAGGCAGATAGGTAGGTGAGTAGGTAGGTAGGTAGATATCTAGATAGGCAGATAGGTAGGTGGGTAGGTAGATAGATAGCTAAGTAGGCGGATCGGTAGATAGCTAGATAGGTAGGCAAATAGGTAGAATGGTAGATAGGTAGCCCTGGGAAAGAACGAAATTTGATTACGTCCTTAGGGACTCCCCTTGAGAATGAGGGGCTCATTATTGATTTTTAAGGCCACTCCCTCAACAATCCCTGGGGATTCCCCATAAACTCCTTCTTAAATCCCCAGAGAATCCATGTCCGGAATCCCCGGGGAGTTTTAGCAGGGACTCCCCGAGGATTTTATAAGGGAGAGTTGACTAGGGAAGTCATCAAAGGTATAGTGTAAAAGATTAAGAATTTACGTTTTCTCTATATTTGAATAAAATCAGAATTTCGATCATATTCTAAAACCGCACGCAAATAAAATTAGACTTCTAATTTGAATGAAACTGATTTGTTAGTTTGAAAACAAAATTGTAATTTATCGGTACGTAACACATTACAAGGGATAAAGCTAAAAGTTATTGCTTCCGATTCAAATCAAGTTATGATTACCATTATTCTGGTTGAATTTATTTATTAAGTTAAAATAGTCAGAAAAATCAGAATAGGTATAGTTAATGTTTATTTGACCACACATTTGTGACGAAACAATATATTCAATCCATGACGAATTAGTGTGAAAATTTATAAATATTTATACAAAATTCGTTTTCTCTAATGATACTTTGTTACTGAAGTATTCTCAATTTTTTACATGAATACTCTGGATAATAATAAACACTTGAGAACATCTATGGAAACCTGTTGACATGATTGACGTTTACCTCATTGTTTTACTAAAAGAATTTATCTGACTCTGGATCCTTCTAAAAATATATTTCTATATTAATAACTTTATTTCTATATCAATAACTTAGATAATTGCTTTACATTGTGACGTTATTTCTCAAAATAGTATAACACAGCTTTATACAGTATTAATTGATACAATCAGTTATGACTAACGTATAGTGTTCTCTTCTTCTATGCTGCTTTCTTTTAAAATAGAAAAGTTATTTGTTGTCTATCATGGTTGTGTTCACTTTCCCATATTTGCAGAAATATCTATCCTCAAATTAATATACAAAAAAGGGCACTACTGCACTTTAGTCACACCATCAATCAATGATATATATGTACAGAACGAGAAAAAAAATCGATTGGTCGAAGCATAACTATTAAATAAATGATAGAAAATAAGACATATAGATGTCATATGAGCCCACTGTATGGATGTTTTATGAAAGATGTATCGCTGTATTAAGTAGTTAAGATGATTGTTTTAATAAAATAGTATAACTCTTTAATGCAATAGGAGGAAGATGAATAAAAAACAGTCACATATTGATAACACATAAATTATAATTTCTATTAATAGTAAAGTAATAAGTGGATTTTTCAAAAGAAATTAGATTGTGTTAAATAAAAAATATTCATATATATACAGCAGAGATGTCCATCGCAGCGCTGCCGCGATGGCCTGTGGCGGCAGCGGCAGGTTTTTTAAAAAATCACCGCGGCAGCGGCGCGGTAGCGGTAGATTTTTTAAAAATCATCGCGGCAGCGGCGCGGTAGCGGCAGGTTTTTAAAAGACCATCGCGGCAGCGGCAGGATTTTTTTGGGGAACATTGAAAAACTGCATGAATTTAATAGAATTTCAGGATTTACAGATGAAACACCCCGAGACTGAATGAATCTGATGGACTAGTACCAATATCTCTGGTCAAATATAGTCGCAGCAGTGAAATTAGAAACACTTTTTTGTAAACCGTCGCGGCAGCGGCGCGGCGGCGGCACGTTTATTTTATAATTCATCGCGGCAGCAGCGTGGCAACGTTTTTTTTATAAGCCATCGCGGCGCGGCAACATTTTTTTATAAACCGTCGCGGTGCGGCAGCTTTTTTTTTCTAAGTCCGCGGCGCGGCAGCGGCAGATTTTCAGCCGCGATGGACATCTCTGATATACAGAGGAATTCGTTTGACGCCAGGATTTTGGCGAGAAACCGTTAAACAATTTACTATTACAAATTTCTGAAAATTATTCTGTTGTGGGCACCGTTTTAGGGATTAACATTCTTTCTTATGTAAAACAAAATTAATAAAGCATACTTCAAAATAGTAAAAAAAGTAACACAATATCTGTTCTTATTGAAGAGAAAAAAAGAATTTTAAATAGGGAGCTACTTTCCAGACACCTTGTAGATATAAACTTAAATTCGAATAAGATATATAATTTTGACAAGTCATTTTGAAGTGTCCCAGAATTTTTTGCGTAGGGTATAGTTGTAGTGGATGTAGATGAGCGAGTGAGTATTGGTCTAGGTGAGTGGATGGATCTGAATCTTTGCATAATTTATATCCATCCTATCGACACTAGTCACATCACATAATGAGCCATACATGAGACAGTTATGAAAACACTTAACCATGCTATATCGGCGACCCTACGCAGCAAGTTCCTTTTCACATGTCTAATTTTCGCTAATCAGCAATAAAAGACGTGAATACATGAGACGCTTTGTTCTGCATGTGAAGCTTTATTCCAGAATATAAAGCCATCTGCCATCAAAATGAAATTTTTGAATACAAGAACGGTTCTAGACTAGAGAAACTAAAAAGAGCAATAAGTCAGTCAGTGGCGAGATTGAAAACTCAGAAATTCGAATGAATGAGATGGGTAAATGACGAAAATTTTCATGAATTGAAATTTTAGTAAAATTTTTTTGTTTTTCACATACACTGTTCGACGCTGGTGATCGAATGAATGTACGTTGAACATCGTTCAAATATATGTGAATTGCATATCAACCGAAAAAATTCTCAGAGAGAACATCATTTTGATCAGATCACAAGATGCTTTTGGTTCATACTCATCAATGAAGTTATAGATAATTCATGCAAATTGTTTGAACTATTCAAGAACTATTCATGTTTTTCATTCTGACGAACTCTTGGAACACTTCATAGGCTCTTTGTAGTGTTCTGTATACCGAACAAACGAGCATTTGATCGATGTAACTCCTCAATTCATCGCTCTCCATTTCAATAGAGATAATAAAATATTCGGATGGTTGACTAGGGACATCTATAAAAATACGTACATACATGATTTCTAAAACAAAGTTAAGTTTTTCGATGAATACGATTTTGTATTAAATTATTTTTTTTGCAAGAGAAAAAAAAAGCCTGTAGGTGTTTAATAAATGATGATTCGTTCTCTTTTGTAGCTCTTTGTACAACCACCAGCTCAACAAATAAGAATGAATGACGGTTGAATCACTTATCCAATAGAATGAATGCAGAACAGTTAGATATAAAAACCGGATTCAGTCGAGTAAATAAACAATTAATAACAAAAGAAAAGAAAAGAAAAGAAAGAAAGGAAAAAAAATGACTATTAAAACTTTCAATTTACTTCTCATTGTTGTCATGTCTGTCAATTGATATGATATATCTATTTATTTATCATTGAACTAACTTGCGTTTTTTTATCTTTTGTATAAAATCTTCTGAAAACTGTATTGTATTTTCAATTCATAGATGCTACTCATAAAATATCCAAAACGATGACAACTGAAAATCAGCAAATTGTAACAATTTGTTTTTTTTTTTTGTTTTGATATTATATAAAACGAAAAATTTTTCCTTTAATCTTGTAGGATAAATCAAAAATATCATCGACTAATGTCGATTCATCTGGTCAAATGCGTGGTTGGTTTAAATTAATTGAAACAATTCGTAAAACAGATCCTCCATCATCAACATTATCGAATGAATTAATTAAATCATCAACGAACAGTAATACAACAAATACAAATGGTCATGTATTAAAATCTCCAGGACTAATTAATCCTGATAATCTTTCATCTAAATCACCAAATCTAATATCTTCACCTACATCAATAAGTTTAGTATCAACATCTGTACAATCATTTGATGATACATCTATAATTAATATTAAACCTACAACTAAAACAAAAGGTTAACGTTAGATTTCACTTTTTTTTTTTTTAAATTCATAGTTTCATATTAATTAACTAAGTTAATTTCGATTATTCAGTTCTTTTGAAACAAACCGATTCTAATCATCAGTATTTTGTATATTAGTGAATGTCGTTGAACATCTATTTCATGTTATCTTACCTACTAGATTTGTGATTATTTTATTCTAGACTGTTAAAAACTTAGTTCTTGAATTAAATGAAATATTCAACAAGCAAGCTTTTCTGAAAAGAATTTATCATTAGTTCAAGTTGACATGAGACTGTAATTAGTGACTAGATTTCTCGATTTAGTTCTTGTGATGTATGATATGTAAGTTTTTGACTCAAAATCATTGAAAATTTCTATTTTAATTTGTGTGAGTAGTTCAATTTTTTTTTAATCTATTGCTATACTAAATTGATTATTAATTGATAAAATGACATTTCCAAGCAATATCTGAAGTTATGTCTATGTTTTTGATGTTAATGAAACAAAGAATTGTATTGATTTTAATTTGAATATGATATTCAAATAGTTATTATTAAAAGAACAATGATTGTTACAACGAGTACTTAATCGAGTCTATTGAATTTTCTAGAGATGAATATAGAATGAAAGAAAAACTATTGATGATAAGAAAAAGAAATGTCTTGATGTTTCGTTTCATAGTTGTCAGACTTTCTGAGACTACTAAGATCAGGTAATTGATCTGTGATCATCCGGAAAAAGCAGTTAGATAGGAGTAATTCATCATACTGAGTTGAATATTCATATTTATTTTTAGGTTTCAACTGATCTGACACTATTATTTCAATAATGAGATAGCAGTCAGCCTCATGTATCCCGAAGATTCAATCCGACCTGTAGATTCGATCGAAAACGATCGGATTTCATCGGAATCCGACATCTTTCATAAAAAACCGATCGGATCCGACAAGGTTTTTGTCGGATTCTCATCAGCCGGATTTCATCGGAATTAGATGGAACACGATGAAATCCGGGCCGGATCAGGTCGGATTTTATCACGTTCCGTCGAATTCCGATGAAATCCGGACCGGAATCCGACCGAAATTATTCCGAACTGGCGAGATTCGACTGGGGTCGTTTGACCTGGGTACTTTTTATACTTTTCAGTTCTGACATTGTTTGCCATATTTTTATTTTCCTACCTTTCTGCTACCCACATATAGACTACTGTTATTTTATAATTAAATCCGTCTATCAAAATTCTATGAATTTTTTTTTTTTTATTCAGAATCGAAACGTTCAACAATTCGTCGCAAAAAAATTACAATTCGTAAATCAACAAGATCAAAAGAATTCTCAACAATTAATAATAATAATAATGTATCAAATGATGATATAATAAATGTTGATATTCATCAACGAAAACGACAATCTAATGATTCGATTATACCATTAGCAACTGATCTTGAATCTTTACCTGGACATAATCAAGATGAATCACGTGATAAACGTTTTCTTGATTATGTTGATATAAATACATTATCATTACATTTTAATACATGTTTATACATAGATAAAAAATCATTTTCATCATCATATTTAACAAAACAACATATATTTAAAACACGTCATAATATATTAAATAAAATTTTTAAATTATATCATATAAAAACATATGAAAATGATTCTAAAATTGATCAAAAAAATCAAGAAACAAAATCAAATTCTTCATTATTATCATCAACATCATCATTTAAAACTGATTGGTCAGTTAATCGTCGAAGTTCATCATCATATCGACGTGAACCAAAAAATATGTTTCATATATTACAATTAAATCCAAAAAAAGATTTATTTCTATCAACAAATAATAAGCCAACAACTAAATTATCAATTGAACATCAACAACATATAGATTATGAACATATGAAAGATCTTTTAATACGTACATATTATCCACATTTTCATATAGCTGTTCAATCTGGAAATTATTTTGGTTCGAAATCGAAATTACCAATAAAACATCATGATTTACCAATATCTACTACTCCTGAATCACCACCTATAGAATCGAATGAAACAATAGCAATTACACTTAAATCACCACCATCTATAACAGAACAAGAAATTAAAACACGTGGACGTAAATCAAAATATAAAAAATTAAAAGATAAACCATTACCAATAATATCTGTTGAACGTCGTGTAAGTGAAGAAATTCCACCAGTTGATATTAAAGAATCAATGATTGTTTCAACATCAACAGAAATATCATTACCATCAATCGTAGAAAACGAAATAAATAATAATAATAATCGAAAACGAAAAAAATCAGCAACAATTAATTCAAATATAAATGAAAGAAAGAAGAAAAAATTTATACAATCACCATCACCTGAATTTAGCAATGAATATCAAGATATTGCACATTCTGACAGGTAAAAAACAAAATCCATATGATTTAAAATATCAATCTTTATTCTTCGATTGATATTCAGTGATCGAATGAAAAAAGAAATTTTCTTCTATAATGAATTGACTGTGTCAGTACTTGACATGTACAGAATTAAATTATTTTCCGATCTTCATTTATAAAAGCGTCTTCGATCAGATCTAAGCACAAGATGAAACTAAAATTTTTGTTCTGTCACACTTAAGTTACAACGTTTTGTTTAGCAAATTGCATTTCAAAAGATTGTATTATGTATTTTCAGACGAAGAATATTATATGAATTTCATAAATGAAATGTTTCATTTGAAACCATGAGTTTTTCAATTAATGGTTAGATTATTGAACAAATTTTTCAGCGTTTAAGCTCGGTCTGAGCCGCAAATTCTTTCATCCGAACTTCATTTAACCTAGCTCAACTACTTTATTATATCTATAAAGGCAACTCTAGGAATAGAGCGAATGAGTCTCTGTCGAATTTTCTCAAAAAGACACGACACATGAATTCATCCTGTGTTCTTATGTAGTTCGCTTTACATTTGAGTATGTATATTAAAAAACAACTGGTCCATCAATAATTTTTATAAAAGTCAACACCAACAATTTCCATTATCATCGTGTATAGTACTACAATAATTCATTTGATATTAGTTATACAATAAAAATTAGTGAACTTGTTTTTAATCCAGAATAATTATACGAAATCTTCTTTGTATTGTTTTTAGATGAATTATTATTTAAAAAAGATATTCATTCTATTTAAAAGTAAAGTATAATAAATCGATAGAAAGATGTGTAATAGTTATTTTTCAGAATAGAAAATGAAAATAAGAATGTTGCCTGCTTTGTCGCATAAAACTCAAAACAGAAGAGGTTATTTTGTACTTACTTCTGATCACATAATAATCCTTTATCATCAGCTAAAATATAAACCTCAAATATTTTGCATGCTATAGTTTTGAGAAAATAAAAAATTATGTTTTTGTTATCTAACTACTTAATACAAAAAAAAAACACAATAGTCAACTCATGCAAAATATACTTTAATAAAAAGTATTTTATTTTTATTAGAGATTGTTTGTTAATTGTTTAAATACTAAAATTTAACTCAACTTAGTGTTCGACTTAAACAAGTTATTCATTAATCGATATTGAGATATATTCTATTTATTTTTACACTAAACAGCTTGTCATAATCTTATTTGTACATTGTAAAATCTAGAAAAATAATTTTTTGAAGTCAACATTGATAATACTTAGAGTTGCAAAAAAAAAAACAAACAATTCATTTAATTTCATATATTTGCAAATCGAATGACAAACTTTAGATGAATATTTATCTAAACTATCTATCGAAATTCTAGTGATGAAGATGTATTACCTGATGAATTACCAAAATCAAATTTTATTAAGAATGGTCTTCGTTCAAATTATTATAAGACAACAACTGATAGTGATGTCAAATCTACTAGGTTCGTATTTATGAAAACTTTCTTTTTTCTTTCTCAAAGAAACAATAAATATCTGTTTTGTAGTAAAAATCGAGGTATTCGTCGACGACAACAATTATCTGGTTCATTACCACCATTCTATAAAGGAATATTTGAATCTGATGATGAGAAATTATCTTATATTGATTATCGACTTCCATTTGATATCTATTGGTTTAGTCAAAAACAAGCAATGATCATTAATTCATCTCCATTACCTTCAAAATCTATTAATCAACAACAGAACAAGAAAAAAATAAATCAACCAAAACAAAAACAACAATCATTATTTAATAAAAAAATTATAGATTTAAATATTGAACAAAAAATTTTACCTTCGAAAATTAATGATAAAAAACAAGAAAAACTTATAAATATAAATAAAAATTTAATAAAAATCGAAGAATTAACTGAACATGAAAAACAAATTATTTTACAAACATCAATTTTTCTAAAACGTAATCTTCGACGTATAAAAGAAAGACAAGAATTAAAAGATAAACATAATAATCAACATAAACAACATGTTGAAGAACAACCATTGCCACTTTTCTTTTCACAAAATTATTATCATCCAAATATTATACAAGAAACAGATAATTCAAATTTATCTCATAAAGGTAATTATTTATATACATTAAAATAAAGTGTAATATTTATTTTTCTATATAGATCTATTAAATTTATTTTACAATCATATTCGTCGTTCACATTTTTATAAAACTGGTCAATGTTCATTAGAACTTATTGATCAAACATGTTATTATGCTCAATTAGCACAATTAAATTTAATACTTAATGAAATATTTGATTTATTATTAAATTATAGGTGTCAAAATAGTGATATTTATCCATCGAATGCATTAAAAAAATGTCCATTAAAACGTTTATTTCCGATGTATTATGAATTAATATTAAAACCAATTGATTTAACAATTATACGTAATAAATTAGATAATGGTGAATATTTATCATATGATTTATTTGAACAAGATTTATTATTATTATTTAATAATGCTATTGTATGTAATTTTTGTTGTTGTTGTTTCTTTTTTTTTTTGAAAATCAAAATTTGTTTTCTTGTCATTGATTTTCATAGACTTATTGTGGTGAAGATTCAGATGTTGGACGAGCTGTAAAAGAATTAGAAATATATTTTATAGATGTATTAAAAATTAATTATCAACCAACAATTAATTTATTTCATAATATGAATAATGAAAATAAAAATCAACGAAATTTAAATATTCTTCAAAATTTTATAACATATTTACATAAAAAAGAAATTATCAATGGACAAATTCGAGAAATTCTTTATGATATTATTTATACTATAGATAATAGTACATCAATTATTTATAAAACAGTTCTTACTAATACAACAAATACAAATCGAACAACAAAAAATATTTCAACAAATGATTATATTGTTCATTGTCGATGTGGATCAATGTATGATGAAACATCTCTTGTGCAATGTTATGCTTGTCAAGTAAGATCAGTTTTTTTTATATTGAAATTTAAACATATTAGACGATAATATGTACAAAAGAATTGAATGATGAAACATTTTAACTTGTAATATTGCCCATAGAGAAGATTACTCATAACAAGAACTTATCATTTTAAAGTCTTATTGAAGTCTATCTTATGGACTGACTTCAAACTGAAAAGCAATTTTCAGATTGAGAAGATTCTCTTGTTAGACTATTTCGAAGCGTTTAGTGGAATTTAAATGCTTGGAATACATTTGTGAATGTTGTAAACAGTACAGTTATGAATTTTTGAGAAAATAAAAATTTATATTGAAGATATTAAGGATGATGTATGACAATGCATTTGTTTGCCATCATCGCTATATGATCAAAATAAAATGCGTAAGTTTATCGCAATATATAATAGGGCGTTGAAGACTGTATATAGATATAATGGATATGTACCAGAGATGGACAAAGTCGCACCGCGCCTCCCCGCGCCGTTGCTCATGCCTACGCTACACTAGTCTGAACTTCGATGAGCGCATGCTTAGAGCATCCCGGTATTCGGTGGAGTTTGAGAAACTGATTGGTAGAGCAAAGAGAAAGAGAGATGTGCGTAGCGCCTAGGCGCGAGCAGCGGCGCGGTGCGATTTTGTCCATCTCTGATATGTACAACAGGCTTATTTACTAATTAAATCAATGGTTAAAATTATAATAATATTAAATTAAGAAATACGAAAAAGAAAACTACAAGTCAAACCAGAAATAAATAAGACTGATCATTTCTATTGCGATCGATTATTCTTGAAAACAATTATAGTCTTCAAGAGATTTTTCGTTGTATACATATGTAAGTTCTATATTTTAGTATCGAATGGATTGCACTAACATTTTTTCTTATATTGAACTTTACTTTAATTATTCTAACTCTTTTATTTTTTTTTACTTAGTTATGGCAACATGTTTCATGTGTAACAATAGTAAATTCATCTCGGCCTTATTATTGTTTTGAATGTCATCCAATGTGTGAAGAAAATTCTTTATTATGTTTAAAAACTAATGTTCGTATTCCAATTGTTCAATCGATACAAATCTTTCATGATAATTATCCTTCATATTCAACAATAACACGTTCAGATGGTTTTATTATTCGTATAAATGAATGTTATATTGTACGAAAACAAGACAAGAATTTATCATTATCAAAATATGATCTATTTTTTATTGAACGTCTTTGGATTGATAATAATAATGTTATACAAGCATCAGGTTTTTATTATTTACATTCATATGAAACATTTCATGAAGTTAATCGAAAATTTTTTTCAAATGAAGTATTTCGTTTTCCATCAATAAATGATTCAATTAATATTAATTCAATTATTCGTCCATGTTATATATTAGATACAGGAACTTATTGTAAAGGTAAACCAATATGTGAATATAGTAGTCGAATATTAACAACAGATTTATTTATATGTGAATATCGTGTTGATAAATCGGCTAAAATATTTACACGTTTACCTAAATCAAAACATAATATATGTAATATGAAATCTTATTGTTTTGATAATTATATTGAAAAACTTACAATTAAAAGAGAATATCAGGTATGTTAAAATTTGAATAAATAATAAACAAAATAAGATTTATATCTCACAATATAAATGATTCTCTTTCATTAATAGCACTTCTCTACTTACGAGGGAAGGGTCCCAACTGTCCAATTGCTTTTGAGTCGAGACTATGTGCATTATGTAGATCCAAATGAGTTATGAATACCCTG